TTTCATTTGACTTCATGTCGTTTCATCTCATGTCATTTCATTTCATTGTCATTTTCATTTCATTTCATTTCATTTTCCATTCCATTCCATTCCATTTCATTTCATTTCATTCATTCATTATTTCGTTCTTTCTTTCTTTCATTCTTTCTTTCTTTCATTCTTTCTTTCTTTCTTTCTCTCTCTCTCTCATTTAGTCATTCATTCATTCGTTCATTCATGTGACAAGAGATGCTAACAAGGCCTCCGCGGGGCTTGATTCAGTGGTTTTCGGGCTAGACTGTGCGTTGTGTATGTCGGGCAAATCCAGATCTCAACAAAACGCACCCTTCCAAAGCAAGGAAGCGAAAGTTCTTTGACAGGCCTGTGTGCGTATCATCCGCAATCCTAGTGTCTGGTGACAGGTGACAGTTTTTGTCTGAAAAGTTGATGCGTCCACCGAACGACGGGCCAAAAAATGGTCCAACGTTTGGATAAGTGCAGGAGAGACTGCAGATAGTGCCACGAGATGTAATGCCAAAGCCAAAACCATGTATCCAAGCCAATCTCCACAGTAAGAACCGTAGCTGGAACTGCTCGGCATCACTTGAAAACAACAAGGAGACCCCTGTTGAAAACGCCCAGCTGGACTTTGTTCGACTCCTGCCTCAGGGCGGACTCGCGCAATCCCTGACGAATCAGGACGAAGAATCTGCCACACCCGGAGCTGGGCCTGGCATCACAGCGTCTGTGGTGTCCCCGGCGTCCAGTGCCAGCTTCGGTGAGCTTTGGTGTGGTGCTGCACCGCGGGGAAGTCACCAGGCTGAAGGGGAAAACCAGCGGCATACGGCATACTGCCTGACAGGCTAGGATGTAGAAATGGTGAAGCGCGTGGGACAACTTGGGTTAGAAGCTACAGTGGGAGGGTAGGTCTATTGTCAACCCAACAAGTTTGCCCCACCACTTGACCCTCTCTTCAGTGGCCTTGAAGTTGTATGTAGTTCTACGAGTGTCTCAAGTCAAGTCATGCTTAGTAAGGTGATGAAGTTCATGGTCACTCAGTAGCTTCTAGCTACTAGTAGAAATGCCCTTGTTACTAGTAGCGATGCCCTTGTTACTAGTAGCTTCCAGCAACTAGTAGAAATGGTGCAGGATATCCCAGTGACCTAGTGGGTGATGTTTGGAAGACAGCTGCTCTCCCAACTAGACTTTCGTCAGCAAAGGAGCTATGACTGTGGATCAAGTTCGTGACTGGTAGCTCAGCTAAGCTCGGATCCAGAATGGGCCACATCTATGGCGGTCAAGTTATGGGTTCCACACGTCCCAAGTCAAGATCCTGGACCAACTGACGCCTTCTAGGCGAGGGGTAGATCTCGGATGGGTTTGACATGGTTTGACATGGTTTGACCGCTTGAAGATGAGACATGTCGGACCATATTGGGCGACTGCACGGCGCCTTTTGAGGCGACTTCGAGTCGGGAAACCTCACCCGGCAGAGCAGCTCTTTCATGGAATACCTGCAGGAGACTTACAATTCCCTCCATCACTGGGTTTTGACAAAGAAACATTCAACACAGCTATAAATTAAACATGTTGGGGTCTGGGGTGATGGGATATGATGGAATGACAAGCTGCCAGGCAAAGTGTGTGAGCAAAAATGACTCACCAGTAACATGCTCAATTTCACGGAAATCCAGTGGTGTTCTGTTTGAAACTTTTCTCTATATATATAGAACTTTTCTTTAATGCTTACGGCTTACTGATTACACAGTTGCTAAAGCTGCCACACTTGAGAGCGGTCGTCCGTGCATTGCTGCATGGCACCTTTTCAGGCTCCCAGACAACACTTGCTAGATGGACCTCGCATAAACTTGAGAACAGGAAGTTGAACATCACAAAGTACTACCTGTGCTGACTTCAAAGGACTTGACGCATGTGAAAGCGACTGAACCCGCTTCAGAAGTGTGACATTGCCAACACCCAACACCCACATTCTCACACCCTGGCATACAATCAGGATGGACGGGCGTGTGAAAGTTGTGTGCCGCTGCACGAGTTCTGCATGCTGAAGAGGTCTTCTCAAGACTTTAGCATGTTCTGCGGCATTGAGGCTCTAAGCAAAGCGCAACTGTTGTTGGACTAAGCCGCCTATGCTCCATTGCTTTAAGTCAACATCCCCATCACAGCAATCCACACTAAGTGTGAGAAGGGGTCTGATATTTCGCAGGATTCCTGACATGGACGTGAACCTTATCCAAACAGAAAGCTAAATACCTCACAGGGTTTGTTGCCTTGAAATCCGTTTCAGAAGCCTGTTTTCAACTCCTTGGTCCTTGGCTCTTCTTTAGATGTGTTAGATGTGGCTTTTCAGAGTTCAAGTCGCTGGCTAGAGTGCGCGGTGGACGCACCAGTGCGGTCCGTTGGCGAACGCACCTTCGATCAGGACTACGTGGGCTTGCTGGAAAACATTGCGCGGCAGTTCGCAGAGGAACAGTTGCTCACCCCAATCAGCCTGAATCAGGTGCTCAGAAGCACAAACACAAAGCTCAGCTCCAACTGATCCGACTCTTCGACCCGGAACTAAACCCACCTTCAATCGGCCTAAACTAACCCACTTCTGATTCTCCTCTCCGATGTCACTGTTTGCAACAGGCCCCAGATTCAGGCACCTTGACGTTCCAAGCAGAAACAGGATCCTCACAGTCTCCAAGACCTAGAAGTCCTTTCTATTGCATGGCGGACACTCAGTTTTTGACATGAATACTGAATACCCGCTTTCAATGCATGGAATCCAATTTCCAGTCCCAATCAGTTTTCATGCCTTATTGACTGTTGTAACTATCGGTGTGGCCAAACAGGACGAATGAGACGTGTTAAATTGCGCAGTTCTTGGCACGTTTGTCCTTGGATCCTATCGATTTGAGGTGAACGGTGCATACATGGATTTGGGTTCCAGGAATGTCCACAGACTGTGTCCAATGTCCATAGCTGTGAGGTGCTTCCACAGCTCTTCTCCTCGACGCGGAACATTGGCGGCAGGGTGGGCAGCGGCCGAAAGGAGGGAACGAAAGATCAAGGGGTTCAGATTGATGACACGTTATGACCCCTTCTGTTCAATTACAAAGCGCGTACCGGGTAAGTAGATGTGTTTATTAGGCTGCTTGAAATTGCCAGTGCCCACGCCGAGAACCTGGGTAGGGCGATGAAACCGACATGGACAAAGTATGCATGTGGAGACTTGTACGAACCTGGTCACCCAGAGTCCAGCAACAGCCTTACCAGCCTTAGTGTGCATGTCCACCAACGAGAGTGGGTACGTGCGCACCTACCACTGGAGGTCTTTCACGACGTGTCCCAGGTGAGTCTGCGGACCCGTGGACAAAGGCCAATGCCAATATGGCCATGATATCCAAGCACACACACAATCCTTTGAGAGCCATTTAAAGTGTAAAACACACGCGCCTAAAATGTGTTTCACAAAAGATGCCGAACCGATCGTGACGTGAACAGTGCAGAGATAGGTCACATGAAACGTCTTCGAAGGTGGAAAATTAAAGACACCGCCATGCTTCATGCAGAATATAACATTTCACTTGTTTGGTCGCGGCTAGCTGCTAGCTGGATTTCTGCATGTCATGTTTCTGCTACTGGCCGTGCGTGGTTGGGGAATCTACGAGCCACCAAGCAATTGGTGGAGAACTTGCTGGGGACGTGAGCATTCTTGACACTTTAGATGGGAAGTCTGTCACAGAAGTCATTCGAGACTGTGAATTCTCAGGCTTTGGCCAATACTTTGCGACCCTCAAGTAACTTTGAACATTCTGGGCTGAGTATTCAAACACAACTTTTCTTGGTGAAGAATAATAACATATGAAAAAAGAAAAGCTAAGGCCTCGTCTTTGTTGTTTCCTTTTCTATAAAACGAAAAGCTGTTCTTCGCCATCCAACTTGTGACTTCAATAATTCCACTTAGGTACGTTTTCCACAGCGGTCCAAGACATTGCCAATGCCGACTTGCTAGTGGACTTTTTCCTCATACTAAATATTTCCAAGGTTCCATGACCTTAAAGCATCTTAGTTTGATTTCTGCCCTTTTTTTTTTGTAGGTACAACTGGTACAACTCATTGTAGAACTCGAATACTGCAGTGGGGTGGCACCATTCTACACAGCTGGTCTTCATCTTGGCGAACCTTTAAAGGACAGCTAGTGGCAGAGTCGATAAGCCCAGGAGTCAACAGGGTATCAGGTTGATGTTACTACCATAATTCTCTGGGTGGCTGACCCGCCGGGCAGCAGAAACGAGAACTGGGACTTGAGAACGTGATGTACTTCTCCACTCGAGACTTGGAAGATCCTGGATCATTGCCGCCCTTTAAGGCAAAAGAAGCAGCAAGCTTGCGTTGCAGGCAATTTGCAAACACTGTGCATGTTTTGGGGGTTCTGGCCATTGAAGAGCTCCTCTCGAGTGTCTCACCACAACCGCCCTCAAGAACACAAACTTTGGTACCTGCATCCACTGCAACAGTCGCAACACCACTGCGGTGCTGTCCAACATAAACCAAGACCCTGAGGTTTGGGGGGGACAGACTCAGGTAGGCTAGATGTGATTTTTTCAAGGTGATTGATGTGTACAGGAAGCTGCGACTACTAGTGTGAGTGACCGTTCTGGATCTCAGGATCTACTGCGATGAACAGTCAAGCTGGGTCACGACAGGCTTGGACCGAATGGTCACGAGACGAACACGGTTAGAGTGAAGTCCTTTCCGATTCTGAGATGCACGTGGATGGAATAGGACCCGTGTGAATGGTTTATTCATGCATCATATTCTCTACGGTTGTATAACTATTAAATGCTTCATATTCTCTCGAATTTATCTACTCAAAGTTCCTCCAGGCCACCTCAGATTCGTTGCAACAAACATACGTAACCATGTATAAACCAAATCGGATTACGGTATACAATTTCATGCCCCCTCTGCAAACAAGACTCGAAGCAACCCCCATCGATATCGTCAAATATCTCCACCTAGATCATTCTTGTCATCTTTAGAATGCTCTCTCATTTTGACGGGAAGTCATCAACCCGCAGCCCTAAACGGACTATTCAACTCCCCCGCTTCGGATAAGCAATGATTCTCATGATGTTGCTTGGAAATTTCTTAATTTCAGATAATTTAAGTATTTTATTCAATAAGTTAGTATGTTTTACTTGATCACTATTAAAATGGATTTGATTCACTCCTAATTTATATCACTGCCTGCGGCCGCCTGTCTGCGAGAGGTCTGGGCAAAGGCAAAGGCAACCTTTGGCAGCGCGTGGACCGCAGCCGGCCACTGCGGATCATCTTTCCCCGCTTCCACACGGGTGCCTCGGAGGTGTTCCTGGGTGCTCATCGTCCTCGCTGGCCCTAGCTACCAGCAGTGTGTGGGGAGGTCGAAAAGGCTTGCACCAGTGGAGTTTATTTTGATTTGTCCTGTGTGATGCTCTGTGCGCATAGAAAGAAAGAAAGAACGTGCGTTTGCCCTTCAACGGACTGGAAGTCGGCAAATTCAATCAAATTCAATCTGTCAGCATTCAGAATTCATAATATATACATATCACGTGGCAACATCGCGTGACCAAAAAACATGAAAGAGGCTGCCTGTGGCCACTTCTTGCTGATTTCGAGTGGGCGTTCTCCATTTTCTTGAGAACATGCACATGCCAGACAATGCTTCTAGTTGACACCATCCATCAGAAACATCCCCTGCCAGTTGGTGACCCGCCTAAGAGTGGTTTAGTATACAGCATGCAAACGGCTCAAATTCTTAGATGCAAATCTCTTAGGACACCTTATATAACTGTAGCAGCAGGCCCACACTTGGTGCACATCGGCTGTGAAGCATGCTAGAACCATCACATGCCTAGGCGGTACATGGGGCCTCCGTCGGCAGAAGACAGGAACTCATTTGTACTGTCAGTTGTCAGCTGGTTTGGGATAATTTTTGGAGTTCGGTGGGAAAGGCATGACATCCAATAGTTGCTCTCGGGGATTCTGAGCAGAACAACCAACAATTGTTCTCATAGTTCTCTCACCAAGCAGGAGTTTCACATTTCTTGAAAAGGTCTTGGACATTTGAAGTCAACAAACCACTCTTGACATGACACCTCTATATTCACCAGGTTTGCCAGCTACTACTCAAACCAAACAGTCAGCCTGCAGGTACAGGTAGTGATCTGTTTGCCCCGAGGCAAACGTGCCGGCCGCTTCGCGAACATGTGGCTCCAAAGCTCCAGCGTTTGACGCGAAACTCAGCAGACAAAAAGGGACGGACATGACAAGTGAAGTGACCAGAACAGTTGGACAGGTCAAGCGACGAGCATAGATTGCTCAGTCGAAGAAAATTGGGAGAATGGCTTTGAATGGCTATTTTTACCCATAGAACCCTGTGCCTGGAGTCCGCAGGCCCGCCGGAGGGATGACGATATCTCGATTGCCGGGGGGCCCAGTGGGCCTCACCAGTCCATGGCCCATTACTTAAAAAAGGCATGTGAGGACTGTTTTCCTCAGTGCTGCTCTGCAAACAAGGGTTTACGGTTTGTGTCAACTTTCACGTCACTGAGTCGGAGTGACATGGGTAGAGTTTCTGATGCTAAGCAAAGAGATCCACTGGTGTCCACCCAAAATTCATCACTTTTGCCTTGACCTCAGTTCTGGGATTCTGAGAATTTAGCGCCCGCGTCGGCAGCATGCCCTTGTTACTAGTAGCTTCTTGCTCCTAGTAGTAATGCCAGGAGCTACTAGTAGTAGCAGCCGCTAGTAGCTTCTTGTTACTAGTAGTTTAGAGATGTTTTGAGCAATGGCTGTTTTCGTTTGGCTGAGAACAGTCCTTCTTTCCTCGTGTCAATGGGGGCCATTCTTCAATCGCTGCAGAGTAGGGAAGATGTATTCTCCAAACTTGCCATATGTCAGAAGTTCGACCATGTGGACCTTACAACTGTGTGGACAGTGTTTTCTCAAACAGGGAGCCGTCCAGCATGTTTCTTCATTGCCCTCGGAGCACTGGAGTTCCAAGAGGTTGAAACCAAACTTGATTGACATGGACAGCGGTTCGCAGGTTGATCGCGGCCCCCCAAAATCAGATCACCACAAGCGTATACAGCTTTTAACAGGCTAACACCATATATATATATATACACATAGGGAACCATTTCACTATGGGGTAAACTTGCCATCTACTCTGCTCTATACTAAACTCATGGTCAGCTTATTCCTTTGCTGGGAAAGTCAGGTTGCCATGTGAGAAGGGCAAGCATGCGCAGCTTCCCAGACACAAACATAACTTTTGTATTCTTTTGTGAGTCCGCTAGAAATATTTTTGCAGAGGACCTGCAAAACGTATCGATAAAGGTGATGTCAAATTGGTCCACATCAGAATTCATAGTCCTTTTGACACAGCATTAATCGTGGCAGTGTTCAGGGTGATCGCAACAAATCCTGACAAAGGCCGCCCTCTTTTTGTTGCACATGACATCACATGACTAATTATTGTGATAGTCGTTAGCTACCTTGCTACCTACTTGCCATTGAAATTGGAAAGATAGGATGTTGCGAACTTCCGTATCCGGCTCATCGATGAACAGAAGGCCAACTTCTGATTGTCGCCAGGTTAACGCGTGGGGGGCCTCAGTGGCAAATGATCCTGATGAATGGCATCTTTCTTGTTCTCTCAGGCTTTAGAGCCGCCTAGCTTGTTGCAAACGTTGCATGTGCTTCATGCAACCTGCAAGGGAACAGTTGGAGCTCTTACATTCAGCAACTCTTTGGCTGATGTGTAGGAGTTCAAAGTGTACACCCAAGACGATGGAATCGGTGAACAGCCCCCAGTCACTTTTTTCAGTGTGTGAACGAACTACAGGGTTGAACTAACCCACAGCCATGCAAATGTACAGTACACCATATATATATATAGTGTGCATATAGCCTGCTTTTTTCATGGACGTGACGTAGTGCATGAACGATCCTTGCGAGATATGCTCTTCTTGCTCTTGTTGCCCTATGAAGGCTATCTTCATTCTCCTCATTTGGATCTCTGATTGTAAACAGGTGGATAGCCATGCATTGCATCATGTGCCATTTCTATTTGCCATGGGCCGTTTATCAAAGGCAAACGGAAGGGTAGTGCACAGAAAGGGTGTTGCAAAAACCTATTCTAGTAACGTCGTGGAAGGCGCGTGACCTTCGTAGAACCCAAGGCTGTTCGTGGACAGTTCGTGGAATGGTGGGCCAGTAGGAGAACTGACTGCAACGAAATCCCAGAAACCTTCGCAGAACTTCGTGGAAGGCATTTTTGATGCACTAACTTCGTATAAGCGATGTTTGCTGACCCCCTTTCTCCACACACCCTCCGTTTAGCCTTCAGTTTAGTTAAGTTCCAAGGAACACCAACCCTCTTTGGTTGCTTCAGGTCTGCGACAGTCAGTCGCTCTGTCAGTCGCCGGATGCTTCAACCCACGGATGCTTCGAATCCGCCACGTCGGTGGTACATGGGAGCTACTAGTAGCGTCCTTGTTACTAGTAGCGATGGCCTCCAACCTAATAGCGATGGCCTCCACCTAGTAGCTTCTTGTTACTATAGACTCCAGGCTCCATTCGAAGCAGACCATTCTTCAATTTTCGTCAAGTGGAGTCACTCGATGCTCCACCTTTTGTTTGTGGGTTACTCACTCACGGGAGGTATAAATTGTATGAGGGTTACTTTCCAAAGTTTCGGAGGACTCGAAAGAGGCTCCTCAACCGCTATATAATTATGTAGCAACAGGCTTAACTTGTTACAGCTCGCCCGAAACTTGGATTGACACCCAATCAGTTTCACTTGGCCAAAACCTACCACTCGAATACTACTTTTTCTGAGTCAGGACGTCAGAACGCCAACTATTCTGAGTTTCACGCTACCCTCATGAAAACTGGTTTTGAGCAGGCTGGATGAGCCAAACCTGGTGAATTTCCCCGGATCCCGCGTTCCCAAATCCGGATCTTCCCAAAATTCCAGATCCGCAGCCTCTGGGCAAGAATGTAGGTGACCTGATATACGAGCTAGCTCACATCCATCGTGCTCAGTGACACAGTGAGGTGCCTTCGAGTACGCTTGAAACCCAACAGCAATGGATGGCTGGTCGAGACTGTAAGACCCTCCCCGCTATCGCGTCGCTGGGTTTGAGGTCGGAGGACCGGATTCTCTGGTTTTGTGTGGTGCGTGGTTGGGTGAACTATGATAAACGGCAGAAACAGACGAACAATGAAGAATTAATAAACATAAGGCGGTGTCAAAAAGTAAGACCAAGGTATTAAGGGCCTCGGTCATAAGGTCCCTGGGCGCTTCATTAAGGAGGCACTTTATCCGTTTTTAAATATTCATTTAGTTTTACATCAACATGGAATGTCCAACAGGTCCATGATTCTTGCTACCTCAGTGGCTCGATTAGTCGTGGAGCTTTCGGTACCTCTGCTTCCCCACCCGTAAAGTGGATCCAATTACAGTACTATGAAAATAAACATTCGATATTCGTTCCCAAGAGTAGGAGTAGGATTAAAGGGGCCTTCAATCTGTGTGGTTCCAGCCAGTTAGGGAGTCCAACCAGTACAAAAACTTTAGGAACAATTGTGGCTTGTGAACCATCACCAGTTCCAGCATGCAAAGTGCCTCCTGTTCGAGCTATCTGGGATTCTGTAGTGAGATGGTTCTTGGGATCAGCGCCCGACTGCAGTGAAATGTTGCAGACCTCCTCGCCGCGCCGTTTTTGTCAGCGAGAAGAAGAGTAATTAGGCACAAGAAAGCTGCTGAGATCTTGAATCAACAGCCTTATTTTTCAGGAAAGCCAAAACTGGTAGAGATCAATTGCGGGCACCACCCAAACACATCTCAAACAGGCGATCATTGTAGGGAAAGCTTGTGAGAACTATGACGTGTGGACATGTTGACATTCATTTTGACTGTGTAATTGACCAAAGCAGCGCAAGTGAATCTGTGGCTGAGAAATCCTGGCTAGGCTTGTTTGAGATAGCATATTTGGCATATATAAGATTTGAGGTTTTTTGCGGCCTGTTTGGATGATAAGTATCAGTTCATCCAAACCGGCATACAAATACCACCCAAGTCGTTTTTTGACGATTCATTTGTAGCAGATCCCCATCTCAAACATCTCTTGCAAATGGTTCCCAATGAGTTCGGTTCGGGTACACCTGTCACTCCTCTGACCCAACTGGCAAGATGCTCAACACATTGTTGTTCGGAGGATTCACTTGTGGAGTGATTTTGTTGTCACGAGGGTGAGGGTTTATACAGTATTCAGCGGAATCAAGGGAAGGTTGGGAATTCCCCGCGGAGCGTTTGACGCCAGTCAGACCTGCGGGGTGGGATCTGATGGCATGCGGACACACCGACTTCAAAAGCAGTTCCAAAGCCTCATAAAGGACCCCAAACTCGGAGAACTCCGACGGGTTGCGTGTGCTATCTTGCTTCTCGCTTACCCGAAGGCCTGGCATGGACTTCAAGATAGAAAGGTGGCATTCCTCATGCATGATTATACATGAAAAGGGACATTGAATACAGAATAATAGCTATATGCTTAATCGCATACACATACATCATCCATCCATGCTGCTATTCATGCTATACACAAACTATCACAAACTCACTGTTGGATCTCTTCTCCAGGCTGGCTGTTCCCCCAATCCATTGGTCTTTCTTTTTCCTTCTATCGCGGCAATCGCGGTGGAGAGTGGGAGGCCATTGCTAGTAGGTTGGAGGCCATCGCTCTTAGGTTGGAGGGCAGTGCTTCTAGGTTGGAGGCCATCGCTCTTAGGTTGGAGGCCGGTGCTCCTAGGTTGGAGGCCATCGCTCTTAGGTTGGAGGCCATCGCTATTAGGTTGGAGGGCAGTGCTTCTAGGTTGGAGGCCATCGCTTCTAGGTTGGCCTTTTCTATTGGGTTGGAGGCCATCTCTCTTAGGTTGGAGGCCAGTGCTATTAGGTTGGAGGCCATCACTCTTAGGTTGGAGGCCATCGCTCTTTGGTTGGAGGCCATCGCTCTTTGGTTGGAGGCCATCGCTCTTAGGTTGGAGGCCATCGCTCTTAGGTTGGAGGCCAGTGCTTCTAGGTTGGAGGCCAGTGCTTCTAGGTTGGAGGCCATCGTTCTAGGTTGCAGGCCTTTTCCTTTGCTATTAAGTTGGAGGCCATCGCTATTTGGGTTGGAGGCCATCGCTCCTAGGTTGGAGGCCATCGCTCTCAGGTTGGAGGCCATCGCTATTAGGTTGGACGCCAGTGCT